GATATGTGTTCAGCAGGATATTGGAGGGAGTATTTTCGACCATCCTGGGGACCATGCTGTGATGAGGGAGAGTAACAGGTTTGTGTTCTTCCTGTTTTTAAGATATGGCCTTCTAAAATCATATGACAATAACTCAGTATCACTGAGTGATGGGGACTCAGGGCTAAGAAAATCCGTTACTTGCATCTAACTGGAGCCATTCACATTTCAATCTACCATAAAGACATAGAACACAATTCAGTATTGCATGCTGATAGCAATCATTCAAAGGATCTACATATAATATCCAAGATAGTCAGTTTTTGATGCCCAAGGGCCAAAAAACCCCGATAAATTATGACTACTTGGTTGATGGAAAGAGTTTCTGCCTCCAACTCCATTTAATAAGCCATACAACACCAACACCACCTCTCACGCTGATTTCCTCTCTAATAAACAACAACAAAGAATTCAAGCCTGAAATACTGAATGTAATCTTTGTGCTTCACACATAAAAGAGTCAGGGGTGGAGCCAAAGAAATATTCATGGCGTGGTAAGAGGGTGGCATGGAGACTTTAAGGGGCAGAAATCTCTGCTGATTTAATCACACACAATCACATGTATCAATATTTGCTTGGCACTGAATAGAAATACCCACTGCAGTCTGTATTGCAGTGGGTTCCTGTCGTTTCTGCTGGTTTGGATTCAGCTGCCGGATGAAAACATCATTAAGTTGTTTCATATCCATTATTTGTGACAACAGGTTGTTATAGATGCTATAAAACTAGATTTTAAACTAGTTGTTTGTTGCTGCCTGTGTTGTGTAATTTGTTATTATCCAAATGTCAGGACACACAAAGATCCATTGGCTCCACCTTGCACACAAAGTGAAACTGCAGTGAGTCTGTGAAGGCAGTCTGTCCATCGCCGCTTGTCTCAACGTTGGTAATGTTAGCTCTGTGAGACTCTACAGTGTCTCAGTCTTCAGGGGTTGACTCTCATGTGTCTCTCTGTCAGACGATGGTGAGTCCACTGAGGTGAAAGAGAGGTTTTATGTCTGTTTGTCTGTAGACTTTTGGTTTAGATTATTCAGGGCTGGAGAGTGTCAGATCAACCATCAATAACCGTCTGTTGTATTTAGACAGTTTCAACTCTTTTTAACTTATTTTCACCAGGGTTTAACTGAACTTGATAATCTAGGTCTTTTAGGATAAAAAACAAACAATTATTGCCATATTGATGGTCGAAGCTGTAATTGTTCAAATAAGTTATTTATTTATTTGAAAATATAAATCAATTATTTGAGTGTTTTCCAGTGTAATATTTCTGTAAACGGTAGGGACAAAAAATGGACGTTTCCATAGAATGATCTGACAATGTGTAACACTGTTCTGGTAATACTACCTGTTCTGTACATTTCTGTATTAAACTATGGTCTTCCTTATGATACCCCTTCATACCCCCTCTGAATAATTCCAATAACGGTTAGGGTTAATCTGACTGTCACATAGAATCTTGTTTATAGACTGGACATAATAATCATTTGTTTTATTCTACAAACAATTCATCTTCTCACCTATGAGTCCATTAAAAGAAGAGGCAGAAAGTGAAATTGTCACATGTACAATTACCATCACTGTGTATGTATCAACCACAATAAACCTGTAAATTGGATCATTAACAGGCTGCATAGGAGCGTCCTAACTCATTCCTTTAATTGCAAGGTATGGCATACATTGTTAAAGAGGGCCACAATATAACATTTGTCATTTCAGCTGGACTTTAATGTCGAACAAATAAAAGCTGATTCACACATCCACTCTTGTAATTGGCAGTGTTATCAAAACCAGGATCCCATTAAAACCGAAACTGACTCGGACCTTCGTCTGATTGGTTGGCTGAATATCAGGAAATGTCTTTACTTGAGGAAGTGAACAGAGAGAGAAAAGGGAAAACACATGAATGACTCAGCTTATTGTGAAAACATTTGTGTGAAACCAAACGTTAAAGACTGGCTGACACATCGATCCAGTGATGAAGTGGAAAGCTGGACTGATTCTTGCTGTATTGGTTGGGATTTTTATATTACTCATCGCTGCCAGAGGTAGGACTGACAGACTCTTGCTAACTTACATTATATTACATTCAGTACAATTCAATATTGTATATTGACTTGTACTTTAAGATAATGATTCATTAGTTATTCTGCAGTTTGTTGTCTGGTTAAAGTTCTGTTGGCCCATCAAGGCCTCATCCACCGTAAAGTGGATGGTGGATGACAGTGTTTGTTTTTAATATTTAAAGATGTCAGATTAAAACCTCACGTGTAACTCTTTTGTATAAGATTACAACCTGACTGTGACCATTGATACACATACTGATTAATATGAGTCATGCTGTGGTTTATTTTTCCTCTGATGTCTGTTTGTGGCCTTCAGGTACACGCCCGTTCACCTTTAAGTGAAAAACAACGCTGTCATTGTTCCACTTTGGTTCTTTCAAAAAAGGTTTAATGTTCCACATCATTGACCCTTCATCTCCTCAATCGGGTCTCTCTCTTTGTTTTAGAGGGCGTAGCCTGACTCTAAAGGTACGATGTGGTTCAACCTGCTGATCCAAACTATTTATAGGACAAATAAATAAACTCACTTTACACACTTTATAATAAAGCTCCAAATCATACAGGCCACTTAAATAATAGTTAACTAATGCATGACTCATGGTTTAATACTTGAATGTAATGCAGGATCCATCCTGTTCCTCCCTGTTTACAAATTATCGATTTAATTAGGTCATACTTAATCATTAATGAAGGAATCTTAATTAAGTTACTTCTTACATTAATTAATACGCTTGTAATTATGAGAAAAGGTTTTATATTAATTAAGGCTAAGGCATAAGGAGTGTTAAACTGAAGTTCTGCTATTAATTCATCAGTATGAGAGAGGTTGGGATATTTCCTCTTTGGTAAATGCTCTACGCTTCCATAAATAAACCAATGATTATTTATTTTGTATTTCTTCCACAGACACAAAGGCAAAGGCAAGAATTGGTCGTGGTAAGTAAAACTAAAGTGCTGTCTTTACTGTAATTCATTATGTACATTAGGACTGTAACGGTTCTGAAACCGAGACTGAAATCGCGACACAAAAGTCCACGGTCTCGTGTCGCGGATCCAGAACCGCCACACACTCGCTCCCTGGACTGTTGAGCTCTGGTTGAGACAGTGTAACTACGGCGGCCCGTGGGGTGGTAGCGCTGTGGGCCTTTATCGTATTTGTATTGACAGTAGCTTCTTCTGGGTCATTTTCCACCTTATTTTAGTGTTTATTTACTACTTTAATCTGCTCCCTTTCTCTTCTCCCCACACTCACACACAGCACACACACCTAGCCTGGACCTCTGCTCACTCACGGCAAACACGCCCGTTCGCTCCGCCTCTTTCTGTCTCTCTCCCTGTGGTGTCTCTGCTGACTTTCTCCATCAGCAGTACGTTTCTACGGAGCCCCCCTGGTGACATTGGAAAAAAAAAAATAATGCGTGGCCACGCGTTATTGTCTCGTGGCCACGAGATAGTTTATGCGTGGCCACGAGATAATAACTGCAGTCATTTTCATGCATTGACTGTTGATAACATGGACAAGTTTTAATTAATTTCATTTTATTTTAATATAGGAATGAATTACAATGACATACTTCAGTCACTTGCACAACACACACACACACACACACACACACACCACAACACTCAAAATGAGACTGATTTGCGGACTTCATCATGTCTTCTTTGCGGGGTTTGCAGCTTTCGATGACATCACTTCATAACGTTCCCATGGCAACAGGAGGAAAATGGCTTCTCTTGTGTGAAGTAAAAGCAACATTTTTCAACTTTCTGCGAAGATATATGTGACTTTTTTGCAACGAAAATGTAGGGATTATCGAATCATGCAGGCCCCGCATATTTCGCAGAAATCTGCGATTTATGCGGCGAAAGTGCGGCATCTTTGAAAATAAATAAATGTGCAGACTTTGGCTGATTATGCGTTGAATTATGCGATCGTATAATCGCGTTTTTCTGGAGGGACTGTATTTAGCATTACCAACAGGGACATGTCCGGCTTCACTTAGACGTAAGCTCCTCCAGCCCGTCATAGCATTATTATTGACATTACACCCGCCATGACAATAATAACAAAGCTACTCTTGAATCCAAAAGCAGACTATAAACTACCTTTATTCATGAATAATAAACAGCATCACTGACAGCTCCATATGGATAACCGTCCCGCTACTGAAGGTGAATTATCTCGTGGCCACGCATTATTTTTTTTTTATCCAATGTCACCAGGGGGGCTCCGTACGTTTCATAAATTCACCTGTGATTCAGTTTTCAAGTGCGCCGCATGTGACATCTGCGGTGGTGCGTTCACTGATGTAAGATTTCTGCCGTGTCCGCTTAATGTAATATCAGATAACATCTCTCTCTCTGTGTTTCTCTGCAAAATGCTAAAGTGGGTCGCTAAATATACTATGGCAGGTGCTTATATACCTGACCAGCCACCCAAGTAAAGTATATGTCGAAAACATTGTATTTAAAGTTAGTGCAAGCAATAATAATAATCATAATAATAATAATAATGATCCCCCCCCAAAAAAAAAGGGGAAAATCGAGGTATGAACCGAACCGTGGATTTGGTGAATCATTACACCCCTAATGTACATACAGATATCTCTCCTGTCCTTTGCTCTTCATTCCACAATGTGTTGTTTGTTACTAACACATCAACCTTATCAAGCCCGGTTGCTCTTGAGCTGAGACTTAAGACAGGCGGTGGCGCTGTCTGATGATGTTTCTCTCGTATCTAGCCAACACAGCATCATTAAATTGCATCATTTCAACTCTTACACACTCTTCATTCGCCTAAAAGATGAGCTGTTGCCAAGCAGTCCCCGTTTTAATGAAGTGTTTCATAAACAGTCTGACAGTCTGATGAGATTGTCTCTGTTTTTTTGTCCACAGACACAGAGACAAAGCACCAGCAGGATCGTGGTAAGTTAAATAAAAGTGCTGTTACTCTATCCTGTTATATTCTGTACCTGCAGATATCACTCTGTTGAATCTGGAGGGTGTCAGGTGTTAAAGACCAGGTATCCACCATATCTCACTCGGTCACTTTATTATTTATTTTATGTCTTGTTACAGAAAGGGACCTGTTGACGTGCCAGCCGAGCCCTGTTGTAGCAAGAGTGGGAGAGGACATCACTTTGGACTGCCACTTGAAGCTTCGACGTGATGTGACGCACAAAACAGTTGAATGGACATTCAACGAGTCCGAGCTCGTTCTCCTTTATAGGAGTCTGGGTTTTTCTGATAACCAGGCAGAGCGATTCAAAGGCAGAGCATCTCTGGACAGCAGTGGGAGTCTGTCGGAAGGGAAACTCCCGGTGAAGATCTCTTCAGTGGGTAAAACTGATGCTGGGACGTACAGCTGCTCTGTTGGAACTAGAAGAGAACGAATCTCCTGCAGTACTGAACTCATCGTTGGTAAGCAGTACAGTGTAACTCCTGCTTTCATTGCTTGGTATGCTTGTTGGGGTATTTGAATATGTCTGCATACTGGGTTTCTTAAACAGTGCTGGAACTGCACAAAGTGGGAATTAGTGGAAAGCTGAGACGCATACATCATGCCACCCCAGTGTAAAGCTCTGCCAGTAAGTTATTGTCAAATTACAGAGTAATTTACAAAGTGCTGAAACAAGGAACACGAGAGACATGAATCCAGTTAAATCAGATAAAACAGAATGATTAAACTTAAATTAAACTTTACTGTAATCATTTAGTGTAATATAGTTAAAGCCCAGCTCAGGGTGAACACGAAGGAGGAAAAGCCTTGGGTTGTATCAGATAAAACTATTAAAACCATTTACTGTAATATACTCAAAGAGATTCAATAATCATATCTTTTGATTTAAAGTCAGTTTAATTAATTACAGCACATATAAACCTTTGTCCTTGTGATCAGACAGAAATATAAACATCAGTCTCTGAACATTTAATAAATGTCCCCATGAGTTTGCTTAAAACACACTTTGAATTAGAATTATATATATGCTTATATATCATATATCTATATATTTGGGACATTCTGTGTTTTCCACTGCTGTGCCTGTAAGTACAGCCTCATACAGCCTTTAGCTGAGCTTTATTTTGTACATCAAAACACTCAAACTCATTCCTCCTGAACCACAAAATGATACAATAAAGGCTTGTAGTGACATTCTTCATAAGACAGGCGGCTGTCTGATGACTTTTCTCTCGTAGCCAACACAGCATAATTCAATTCCATCATTTCAACTCTTACACACTCTTCATTCGACTAAAAGCTGTTGCCAAGCAGTCCCTGTTTTAATGAAGTGTTTCATAAACAGTCTGACAGTCTGATGAGATTGGCTCTGTTTTTTGTCCACAGACACAGAGACAAAGCACCAGCAGGATCGTGGTAAGTTAAATAAAAGTGCTGTTACTCTATCCTGTTATATTCTGTACCTGCAGATATCACTCTGTTGAATCTGGAGGGTGTCAGGTGTTAAAGATCATCAGGTATCCACCATATCTCACTCTGTCACTTTTCACTTCGTTAAACCAACCCACTTTCTTTTTAACAGCAGACACACGTGCTTGCTTAGATCATACCGCTAACACTGTGATGAGTTAATATATATATACTCAAAATGATACAATAAAAGCTTGTAGTGACATTGTTCATAATTTGTCTCATCTTCATCACTTTGGTCTTTTCTCAGCAGGTGGTACAGACAACCAGATCAAGAACAAAGCGAACCCAAGCGTAAGTAAAGTATAGAAATATAAAAAAAAAACATATATTAAAGTATTAATTTGTATATTAAAGTGTCTAAGTTGTTTTATACTGTAACATATATATTAAAGTATTAATACATATTGCATATTATGTTTGAAAATGAAAAACCCATTTTACATTTTATTTTTAACCACTGAACTTGCTTGTGGAAAATATTCACGTGCAATAAGTGAAACAGTCCTCTGTCCTTTCAGGGACCTATGTTTGCACTGGTGCTGGTTACGTTTACATTCCTGTACTACTGAAGAACAGTAAGTCACACATTTCCTCTTTCTTCCTTCTCCCCATATTTGGTTCACAGTTTTGAAATCTGTCTTAAAGCATTAGTAAAGTCCCCACATGTAGAGTGCAACAGTTTCCATTTGCTGTAATCATTCGTCCTGTTTAAACTCTAGAAGGCTGTTCTCACATGAACCTGCTGAAGAGGAATGTTTCTCTGAGTTCACCTTAAATCTCAGTTTAACCTCTCTATGTACCAACTGATTTGTGACTTTTCTGTGCAGTTTTTTCCCCAAAGTTTTCCCCTTAAATGGGTTTTGAGGACAGATTGTATTGAATGAAGAGGCTGACATCCTGGTGCATTCATGGTGCAAAGGCTTAGAGTTAGGATTAGCATCTGAGAGGGCACCAGGGTTTTCTTTGCTGCCTCAGATTTCAAACTTTTAAACATCCGCTGCAGTAGATTGTGTTGAATGCTGCTGTAGTTGTACCTGATTAAACGTAACCCTGTGTGGACCGGAGAGGTCAAAGAACAGAAAAAAGCTCATGAGCCATTTTGGAAAGCGCTGACTAATGATCTGTTTTGTGTCGTACAGATACGTGTGCAAGGCAAAACTGGAGAGGACACAACAGGAAAAACATGGACTGTTACTCTGAGGAGAAGCTAGGGACAATGCTGACAACAGTCCTGAGTCTGAACACCATGAGAAACACACCAGTGACACAAATACTTAACTCTTGGTTCTTTGACCCAGCTGCCAAACGTTTATTGCACTCAAACATTTTTTATCAGGTACTTCCAGTAAAACCTCCTGGCTGATGGATCGTTTTATATCATGTCTAAATCATCACTGTTTGTTCAATTAAGCTCTCAACTCTCAGCTGTTCCTCAAACTGTCTTTAACAATCTGCTAGAGTCAAAATGTCCAAATGTTAACTAATGTTTTTATCTAAAAAGGACCAGACCAGACTGGACCAGGATGTTTTAAACCACTGTAGGGATGGAGCTGGTATTTTATTGTTGTATTTGTGCTCGTTTTTGCCATCTTGTGAAGCGCTGTACAACATCATTTTTAAAAAGCACTTTAAAGTATTTATTATATTTTTACAACCATAATCAGTTTTTTAAGCTGTGAAACATCTGGACATTGTTAAAGACACATATCCAAAAATCTTCTATCTTTGATCGGAAAGCAAATACTGCACAAATTCTGCCCAGTTGGTTCATTTAGCACTACTATAGAACAATTACTAATTTTCTATGTATTTTATAATAATTATTTTTTATGGATGATTTGTGTGATTAATTAAATCCATTTGACTCAATCTCTGATGTGTGGGGTTTAATGTGTATGTATGTAATATGGATCTTGATGTTTAGTTGATGTTGCCCTCTTTATAGAGACATGCTTTGTCCCAGGTGTGCTCTGATTGGTCCAGCTTGTGAGTGACTCTCAATCATGCAGAACACAAACAAAGTAAAAAGGTGAATTGAACACAATCAAACAGCACTTTTATTTTACAATGAGAATTTTTATTTTAAACAGTAAAAGTAATATGCAAATGTGGCTGTTCACACACAAAAGACTTTGAAGCTCATTGTTTTTGAACTCAGCGTTTTTACCGACATCATCTGCTCCAAATTCAGTAAACAAAGACATTCAAATATTAATTAAAACACAAAAGCAGCAAAATTAGAGAATTTGTGCTTGAGACATACCATGAGAAGAAGTTTGACTTTAATGCCCATCCCATGTTCATCATCATCATCATCATCAGTGTGATTTCTGTTCAGGTCAAATGGTCAATCAATAATTCACTCACATACATTACAGTAGAAAGCAGAGGCCAAGAAGGATGAAGATGTAAAACTCCACAACATGAATGGAAAATAAAACCTCTCACAAGAGCAAAAATAAAACATTGTTGGTGATGGTTCAATGCTAACGATTGTACAAAGGCAAAGTGAAATATCTGAAATTCTCATTCGACAACAAAATACAAGCCGGCTTCCACCCTGAGAAATACAACTGCATGTATTATCTAGAAAGGTACACCAGAGGGCGTCAGTGAGACCTTGTACAAAGCTGTTGACAATTGAGTGCAGAGAGAGAGAGAGAGAGAGAGAGAGAGAGAGAGAGAGAGAGGCTTTGAAACAGCCAAAGCTCTCCTACAAGAGAAACAAAGATCACAGCAGCTTCTCTGGAAAATGTTCTCACCTAGCCTGCTATTAAAGCTGATCACAGGGGAAAGAGCTTTAGGGCTCCAAAAGCATGTGGAGAGAGACACCTTCAACTTCCACATGGACAGCAAAGACCGGAAGCAAACTCATTGAAAGAACTGTGGCTGGGATCAAGACATTCAGTCATATGGCAGCAGTGGATCAACTGGTTGACTGCAGCTGCTTGAAACCACAGGACTTTGGACCACCTGTCCGCACTCCTTTACTGATGGCAGTGAAGGAGGATATGGCGCTACCATCAGATTAAAAAATGTAATAGAGAAAAATCCATTGCATTGGTGTTTTGGTTTAAAGTAAGAGACAGTATAAGTAAAGGTTGGAGCTACAGTGGTACACTCTCACATACAGTAATACATTGAACTATTGCAGGTTCATGTTGTTCAGGTAGCATCATTCTGTTTGTGCATTGAGAAATGAACATTAATATCCTTTAAATATTCTACTATTAATTACTGAGAGTTATACACAATGAAGTTCTAACAAACTCAGACTGACTTTGATTTTCTTCTTTCAGTTCAGTGTCGTAGAACATTAATTGTTCAGTTGCAATAAACTTAAAGATTCTGCACTTCCCGAAAATAAAAACATTTTATATCAAATGAATTCTAGTAGTACAATGTGTTTTAAAACGGATTCATCACAAGGCAGTAACACAAGATAAAATGAAGCAAAACACACAAAAAAGCAGAACAGTCATAAAAAAATATATATATAAACATATAAATATGTATATAAAACCTAAATATGAAAAAATATATATAGTCACCTTAAAATAATAACAGTCTTTAAGTGCTTATTATTGTCGCCTATGGTCAAATTTAATCAACACATCAGGAAGAACTTCTGAAAAATTCCCTGCAGCTGCATTTTAATCAAGAATCAACATTCTGGATGAAATGGTTGTACTTGTCTGTATTTGTTTCTTCAAACATTGCTAACTGCACACAAAAAACACACACAATTACTTAATACTGATTCAATCAAATTGTAATGTTGGTTGTGAATATTGGACCAAATGACAAGGTTCTATAATAAACACATTTTATTTACAGTAAACGGATTCTAGAGTTCTTCAAGGGCAGTAAAACAAGATAATGTGACGCAAAAACACCAAAATAAAACCGCACAAAACAATAACAACAATAACAAAAATACAAGTATTACTATTATTATCACCACCATTATCATTATCATTATTGATAATAATAATAATATTAGTATTATTATTACAGCTCATAAAACACCTGATGAAATGTGGATGGAACAAAAGCTTTTCTTTCTTACTAGCTGACATTTCTTAAGTTGAGCATACCTATATTTTCACCATTACCCCCATCATCATCTGTCCTCATCACTGTCCTCTGCATTGTCCTCTGCACTGTCTTCAGGATTGTCTTCAGGATTGTCCTCTACATTGTCCTCCGCATTGTCTTCAGCATTGTCCTCTGCATTGTCTTCATCATTGTCCTTTTCACTACCTTCCCTGTTCTGCCCGTTGCGTCCTGTCGTGTTTGGTCTTGCACAGTCCGTCGCTGTTAGACACAAAACCAGTTATTAGTCAGTGCCTTCCAAAATGTCCCATGAGCATTTTCTGTTCTTTGAATGCTCTGATAAACACGTGTTTAAGTTTAGACATTAGACAGACAGACAAAACCACTTGGTTAAAGCTCTGTGGAATATATGATTAAATGGCAGCATTCAACACAGTCTACTGCAGCAGAGTAGCATCATCAGCAAAGAATAAAGCAGGAAAAGTGAGAATAGGATGTGAAAAGGGCGATTATTTTATCAGCCCAAGCAGAGTCAGTCAGCAGTGGAGTGATGACACTTGTTGTTATTGACAGTGAGGAACTACAAGTAAAGGAGCTTGTCCCAGATCAACCATCATAATCAGACAGCAGGATAGTGAGAAAGCTCAGACACACTGTACATGAGAGGCTTCTAACTGGTTCAGCAGAAAGGTCAGATAGATGAATGCATGTGAATGTTTGTGTGCTTACTCACTGAAACAGCAGGGGCAGATAGAACGTACACTGATACAGGAATCAGAGACAGGAAACATTTATTTGAAAAACATGCAGATAGAAGAAATTCAGGACTTACTGGTATTCATGTTGAGCAAAGGTATTCCTTCATCATAGTCCTCATCACTGGCCCCAACATTGGCCCCATCATTGTGCTCATCAATGGCCCCATCATTGGCCCCATCATTGGCCTCAACATTGGCCCCATCATTTGCCCCGGCATTAGTCCCAGCATTGGCCCCAGCACTGGCCCCAGCACTGGCCCCATCATTGTGCTCATCACTGGCCCCAGCACTGGCCCCAGCATTGGCCCCATCATTGTGCTCATCAATGGCCCCATCATTGGCCCCATCATTGGCCTCAACATTGGCCCCATCATTTGCCCCGGCATTAGTCCCAGCATTGGCCCCAGCACTGGCCCCAGCACTGGCCCCATCATTGTGCTCATCACTGGCCCCAGCACTGGCCCCAGCATTGGCCCCAGCACTGGCCCCATCATTGTGCTCATCACTGGCCCCAGCACTGGCCCCAACATTGGCCCCAACATTGGCCCCAGCACTGGCCCCATCATTGTGCTCATCACTTGCCCCATCACTGGCCCCCATATTGGCCCCAACTTTGGCCCCATCACTGGGCCCAACATTGGCCCCAGCATTGGCCCCATCACTGGCCCCCATATTGGCCCCAACATTGGCCCCGTCACTGGCCCCAACATTGACCCCAGCATTGGCTCCAACATTGGCCCCAACACTGGCCCCAGCATTGGCCCCAGCATTGGCTCCAGCATTGGCCCCTTGTCCTCCTGAACACATATCAACAACACAAAAAAAGTTATCAGTCAGTGATTTCCAAACTGAGTGTTTTCTGTAGTTTGAGTGCTCTGGGTTGAGTTTAGAGGGAAAGTGAGAATAGGATGTGAAAAGGGCGATTATTTTATCAGCCCAAGCAGAGTCAGTCAGCAGTGGAGTGATGACACTTGTTGTTATTGACAGTGAGGAACTACAAGTAAAGGAGCTTGTCCCAGATCAACCATCATAATCAGACAGCAGGATAGTGAGAAAGCTCAGACACACTGTACATGAGAGGCAGGGTGCAGACCCCCCAATAAATGATTTCTAAATAAATGATGGAGTTATAAACACATATTAGCTGATATTAGCTTTAGATACACTTCTGAAAACATGTTTCCATGTAAGGAGGACTGTAGATTGTTCCCCTCATCACTTCCATTGAAAGTACTTTAGGAAGAGATCTTTAATGTCCAGTATAACAGGAGGAATCATTACAGCAAGAAAAACCTGTTTCACTGTTCACTGTTGTTTGAAGACTGACTGAAAAACTGTAAACTGTCTTTTTATGGAGGAAATGGAGAGAGAGAAGATAATTGACTTACTGATCTTTCTACATTTCATCAATACAGCAACTGCAACAATGACAGCAATGACACCAAGAGCAATGCCAATTATAGCACCGGGGCTCAAATCAGTCTCACCATCTGAAAGAACAGAGGAAAGATGTTGAGATTTGTTCTTCACTGTATCAAGATAACATCCATCAACAATATTTCCACAGCCACTTCTCCTGTTCATGGTCTCAATGTGTACTTGGAGTCCATCCCACCAAAACTGTCTGTTGGTTAGAATCTCTTTCATTGCACAACAGTAAACAAACAGTATTATCAGTAAGAATATTCTCCAGAAATACGAGGATCCAGGGTTATTTAAAGGACCGCTGTGGAGGATTCAGTGCCATCTAGTGGTGAAGTTACAGATTGCAAACAAGTGAATACAACTTCCAAATGTGTTCTGGACTACTGTAGAAACATGGCGGTGACAATAGATCCTCCTGAATGTTACACACTGGACCTTTCAGTAGTCCTCTATCAGTGTGCTCTGAGATGATGAATGAGTTCATTATTTGTTATCAAATCAAATCAAATGTGCAAAAAAATATATATGTGATAACATTCAGACCAACAGGAGATGACAGCTGATGGAGATACAAATAAGATATTTACTTACTGATATCACCAGTCTGACCTCCCACTGGCTCTGTAGGACAATCAATACAAAACTTTTAAGACGTGACAAATAGAACATTTCCTCTTATTTCCTTTGAATGTGTAATATGTTAGCTGTACTCACCAACAGTGAGGTTAATGAAGCCTCTCCTGACCTGACTTTGCAGTCTGGGAACAAAGCAGGTGTAACTTCCAGCATCCAGTTCAGTTACGTTGGTCAGTTTTAGTGAAATGTTTCCTCTGATCCTTTCTTCATGGAAGAGAGATGTTCTACCTCTGAAGTTCTCATCTTGAAGATCCAGATAGTCCTCCCCATGTCGACTGACGAGCACAAATCTTCCATCACGTGTCCACTCCACTGTTAGAGTCCTCACATCAAATGGCGGCTCCAGGTAACATGGCAGGATGGCGTTATCACCGACTGTTACTGTAACTGGTTTGTCTGAGCCAATCACATCAGACTGTCCTGCAGAGACAAACATCATATTTACACTTCCTGTTACAGAATCACTGAACACTAACCCTAATTGAGGATCTTTACATTACAGTATTAGAGGTTGACTGATAGGGGTTTTTTATTGGTCAATGTAGATATTTAGAGAGCAGGGAGACTGATGCTAGATATTTAATGTAAGTAAAATTCCATTATTCCATGCACATTACAATCTAATATACATGCTTATCTGAGCCAGTAAAATGTTGTTTTAGATGTTATTATTATTAATTAGTCAAACAGAAAAATACATTGGGTTATACTGTAGGTTTTACAATGTGTCTGTTATTTCAGAGAGGGTACAGTCGTTTAACTGCATTGTTCTATACATTATAACATAATGAAACACATTAACTTTTATAAAAGATAATGATGATTTATACAAACATTTACATTAGTATCTGCTGATCCTCAGTTTCATTAAATTAATATCATAGTCCTAACTCAATACTTGTATTTGCTTTAAAATACAGGTGAATGTCGCTGAATTGCATTAAGAATGTTTTATATGTAAAATTAATGTTTTCTTATACTATACTAATTATCAAAACTATAAAACAGCCTGACAGACTCTCCTGTAATCTCTTGTCGCTATCTGGAGGAAGTTTCTTTCTCTCTTTGAAAGTGTGTGCAGTGTTTGTTGCTTCAGTGCAGCCTTTGAGTTACCTGAATGAACTGTATTTTACTGGATGTTTATTTTCCTCTTCTGTACATTCATAAATAACTCTAACTTGCTTTTTGTTTGCAGGGCTTTTGTAGCACTTGTACTCGCAGGCTGAATATGCAGCTCTCCACCGCTCTCTGCCTCACCTCTGACCAGGAGCTCAGTCCAGTGGTTCACTGTGGACAGAGCTGAGCTCCTGCACACACGCACACAGCAGATATAGTTAATAACAGCTGCACTGCGCGCAGAGGTTAAAATTCAGTATTGTGGTAGTCTGGCCTTGCTGCTGATTGGTAAACCAGGAATGAAGCTGGTCAATCCTCAAGCAAGACCTCAGTATAAGAATCCTTCCTGAGAGTTGGTTGGTGCCACCATTGTATGTTTTGGAGTTCTTTTGTAGTAAAGTTTTTCTTTGTGTTTTGTTTAGTGGCAGTAGTTGGATTCAGATTTTTTTCTACTTTATAGGGGGATGTAACTTTTCTGTCTGTTCTCCCCCAAATAGTGAGAAGACCAGCAAATGCCATTGTTGATGTCTCTCTGTGTATGTTAAAGATGGTAACTGTCAAGTCTGTAAACAAGATTGTTCATGTGACAATTAACAGATTAATGGGAAAAACTTCTGTCACACAGTTCTATTTATGTATTCATTTATGTCTCCACAGTAATTTCCTTTCTTGTGTTGGGACAGCTGCTGTTTGAAGCCCTGACACATTTTCCAGCATGCAGAAATTCAGCAGAAAATTACGGTTGAGCTGTTGATCATGGAGCAGATTAATAAAAGGGAATAAAAGGATTTGCATGCAGGCTACATGCATATCTCATAGCCTGAGATATGTTGCTACAGAGCCATGTCTTTGAATGTGTGTTTTTAACACAATACATGGTTTGAATTTGTTGAATATGCATAGGATCTGGTTTGGTAATGTGCTGAGTGAAGGCTTTGCACAGCAGGAGTGTCTGCAGTCTTTTAAAGATTAGACATGTTGCTCACACAAGTACAGCAAAAAGTACCCCTAAGTGTACACAACAAACAGTGAACATATTCAAAAAACATGGAGCACCTCTCAATTGTTAATTAGGATTATTATTTAGCTCCACTGGTGATTCACAATCCAATTTACAGTTTATAAATTATCATTTATAAATTACCCCAATGTCTGGCCACCCCAGTTCACACATCAGATCGTGCACGGAAGCAAACAATGTTTTTAGACTTCCTGTTGCATCATTGGACATTTTGTTTCTCAATTATAATTCAAACTGGCTGGTTTCCATTCAAATGTAGTGCAAAGTTCAACAGAATTTCCAGAAAATGTGGAAAAGAAGATGCAAAATCATGTCTTTCCATCCATTATTGTTGGAGTTGGACGCATTGAGATCTAAGGGGGCACCCATTAACAGGTGCACTGTTAATGCCCCCACTGGTTCCTTTAATTAAAATACTGAGCTCAGTCAATGTTCTGCCTTTATAAAACCCAGTGTGACTTACCAACAATGAGCTGGATGGAAGCTTCCTTCTGTAATGAGGGAAGGGCACATTGGTATCTTCCTGTATCAGAAACTTTCACTTTGAAGATTTTCATGGAGACGTTTCCTGTCATCAGTTCATCCACAAACACTCTTGTCCGGAAATTATAAGATGGATTTTGATTTTCAAACATAAATCGTCCATCCTGGTGAACATGGATGTACTTTGGGTCTAAACCAGGTCTGGTCCACTCCACTGTCTCATCATAAACACTGATGGGAGGTTCAAGGTGACATGGTAGAATGACATCATCACCAGCCAGGGCTGTGATTGGTTGATGTGAACAAATCAACTGTGAGTTTGCTGTGAGGAAAACAAAAGAACAAACAGGAAACAGCAGTTAGGTTCAAATACATATCATCAAATGTCCTTTCTGTTGATTCCTGGCTCCTAACCTTGAATGTCATCTTATTTGTGGCCCAATGCAGCACCATCCATGATGAGACCTGCATCAGTGGGGTTAAATTTCAAGAATTTGTCAGCATTGTTGTTTTTAGTGTGGGCCCACTGTGCACTTCTTTCTTACTGATTGCCTCTGAGTAGGTTAACTGAAGGGGCAGTTATTTTACAGCAACTTTCAGTTCTGCTACTTTGCATCCTCATAAACTCCCCATGCACATTTGAACAGAAAAGTGTGTGTGTGTGTGTGTGTGTGTGAGAGAGAGAGAGAGAGAGAGAGAGAGAGAGAGAGAGAGAGAGAGGGGGGGGGTGGCTGGCGTAAAGCTTTAATAATTTAACATCAAGTCTGCACAAGTTTCTGATGTGTACACTGTATAATCCTGCTGCCCCCGCGAGCTGAGGTCGCCTGAGCTCAGAGGAGAGAGCGGTAGAGAACTAAAAACTGTCTCTGCTGCCTGGTAATTAGTCCAGTCCTCACAGTATAATAACATTAGCTTTGTCTATACAGTGTAAACATCAGTCTACAGACTGACTGCAGCTTTAAGTCTCACAATATCTGCATCAGCTCCTTTAAACCGGATCCCCCACATTTCCTTTGACACACTTAAATATAAAATACTATTTATACTACGGCTTAACTCAGCACTAATTATTATTTACTGAGAGATCACAGAGCTGCAACTGAACCTTGACTGAGAGAGCAGATCATTATAATCTTGTTTTAAATTATGTGTGTCTGTGAGGAGAGTCAGTACATCCATATATGATCTGGACTGTTGCACAGAGACGTTGCTGCTGTTGCAATACATTTTGTGTACGTTTCCTCTTATTATTATTAGATTTAAGAAGTTCAGAGTCACAGTCACACAGTTGCAATGGACTCATTCAGGCAGTCTCATTCTACATAAGCACCAACGCCTCATCCTTTTTATTTGATTTTAGTTTTATACTCAATGTTTCAGCTAGTTTTTCAATTCTGAAGTAAAATGTTTTTTCTCTTATAGTTTTAATTAACTTTAATAACCTTATTCTCTATATCCACCTTGAATGTAATACAGATCTTTGTCTGTGTGGTTTAATGCCTATCGATCTGTTGGTAACGCCTCAGTGCTCCAGTAAGGGGAATCACGCTCCTCTTCCTCATTCAATACAGACGAGTGAAGAGCTGCGTGTGTTTCCTTCATCCTTCTGCCGTTACTATATACATACAGTATCTAATGAACATATTAAAGGTGTTTGTACCGTCAGATTGTGCAGTGCACTATGTTGGTAAAGTAAACATATAAAAAGAAGAGTTAGTGTCTCTTTAGCTGATAATGATTGTGATGATGATAAATGACAGTGTTGACCAGCGCCCTTCCTCAATGTTTACTGTTTGTTTGTTTGCTGTTTACTGACTGTCACTGCAGCTCGTTAATAAACTAACGGATACAGTAAAGAATATATAGAATATATTATTGTAGGTTTATATATAATACAGTTAGTAACAGTCTATAAAGCCTACCTAAGGCTGCGTCCATTAGCAGAGAAAGAATGATCAGCATCGGTCCAGCTCTCCTCTTCATCACTGCATCGATGGCCAGTGTGTCGTTAATTGTTTAACTGTTTTTTTTATAAAAAAACCTTTTTAATAAAAACTTTCATTTTCATAGTTTCAGGTTTTATTGTGGGCGTCTGCAGTCACATCGTGGCAGCCTCGGAGCAAAACCGTTTAGTTCTGTGGTCGAGACTTCCTCTGTCCAACTTCCCTAAAAATACTCTCCAATACAGCGCTTGTGTCACCCTGAAGGGGGGCGTGGAAAAGAGGTTCTCATTTGTTTACAGTTTATCATCGCCCTCTCTACTGCCATCTTGGTTCCTCCCGGAGGAGAGACACTGAGTGAGGAGGAAGATGAGGAGGAGGAGGAGGAGAGACACTGAGTGAGGAGTGAGGAGGAAGAGGAGGAGAGACACTGAGTGAGGAGGAAGAGGAGGAGGAGAGACACTGTCCATTGTTTTCTTCTAGACTACTGCTGTATCTGATCTTCTCTGTCAGATGAGTCTAACAGTGTCCTTGTGCTTTCTAACTGAACGTTGTTTCACAGACAAACACTGAAAACAGAACTGCTCACCAAAGCTGATCTGAGAGCAGCCACTGAGAGGAAGACAGTGGTGATGGATTATTGTTGTAGACAAATGAAAAGGTTGGAGCTACAGTGGTACACTCTCACATACAGTAATACATTTAACTATTGCAGGTTCATGTTGTTAAGGTAGCACCATTCTGTTTGTGCATTGAGAAATGAACATTAATATCCTTTAAATATTCTACTATTAATTACTGAGAGTTATACACAATGAAGTTCTAACAAACTCACACTGACTTTTATTTACTTCTTTCAGTTCAGTGTCGTAGAACATTAATTGGTCAGTTGAAATAAACTTAAAGATTCTGCACTTCCCCAAAATGTCAGACCAAATAAGAACAAAATGTCAGGTACGAGTTAAACATCTTTTTATTAACAAACAACAATCACAGTTTCATCCTCCTAGTGTCCAATGTGTGATTTTGGTTGTGAATATTTGAGCAAATCAAAAGGTTGAATAAGAATAATAAACTTTATATAACATTAATTCTAGTAGTAGTACAATGTGATTCTCTACAGGACAGTAACACAAGATAACATGAAGCAAAACACACAAAAACGCAGCACAGTCATAAAATATATACATATAAATATACGTAAAACCCAAATATAAATATATAAAACCCAAATATGAAATATATATTGTTAACTTAAAATAATAACAGTCATTAAGTGCTTTTTATTTCCCCCTCTGGTCAATGAATCCTATACAGTAACAAGTCACTAGAGGGAGCTGGAAACTGACACTGAGAAGGTTCAATTAGACAGATAAGACTCATTCTAGTTAAAACCAGGTCCTGAGACACCAACTCTGTCCCTGCAGTGATTTATACAATCAACACATCAGGAAGAACTTCTGAACAATTCCCTGCAGCTGCATTTCAATCAAGAATCAAGAATATTTTATATTTTATATACAGCTAACAGATGTTGCAGAGTTTTTCACAGGGCAAAAAAACGAGATAACATGAAACAAAAACATAAAAACCAAGCAGCATAAAACAATAACAACAATAATACTATTTATTACTATTATTATCACCATTATCATAATTATTATTATTATTATTATTATTATTATTATTATTATTATTATTAGTAGTAGTAGTAGTAGTAGTGTAGTAGTAGTAGTAGTAGTAGTAGTAGTAGTAGTAGTAGTAGTGTAGTAGTAGTAGTAGTGTAGTAGTAGTAGTGTAGTAGTAGTAGTAGTAGTAGTAGTAGTAGTAGTAGTAGTATGTAGTAGTAGTAGTAGTAGTAGTGTAGTAGTAGTAGTAGTGTAGTAGTAGTAGTAGTAGTAGTATTTCAGCTCATAAAACACCTGATAAAATGTGGATGGAACAAAAGCTTTTCTTTCTTACTAGCTGGCATTTCTTAAGTTGAGCACATTACCCTCATCATTGTCCTCATCATTGACCTCATCATTGTCCTCCTGACTACCTTCCCTGTTCTGCCTGTTGCGTCCTGTCGTGTTTGGTCTTGCACAGTCCGTCGCTGTGAGACACAAAACCAGTTATTAGTCAGTGCCTTCCAAAATGTCCCATGAGCATTTTCTGTTCTTTGATCACTCTGATCAACACATGTTTAAGTTTAGACATTAAAACCACTTATATAAAATATGATTAAATGGCAGCATTCAACACAGTCTCCCTTTCAATCAGACAGCAGGATAGTGAGAAAGCTCAGACACACTGTACATGAGAGGCTTCTAACTGGTTCAGCAGAAAGGTCAGATAGATGAATGTGAATGTTTGTGTGCTTACTCACTGAAACAGCAGGGGCAGATAGAACATACACTGATACAGGAATCAGAGACAGGAAACATTTATTTGAAAAACATGCTGATAGAAGAAATTCAGGACTTACTGGTATTTATGTTGAGCATAGGTATAGTGACCGCATCATTGTCCCTCTGTGCTGGAGGATATTCTCTCTCTTGTCCTGCTGAACACATATCAACAACACAAAACAAGTTATCAGTCAGTGAAAAGGGCGATTATTTTATCAGCCCAAGCAGAGTCAGTCAGCAGTGGAGTGATGACACTTGTTGTTATTGACAGTGAGGAACTACAAGTAAAGGAGCTTGTCCCAGATCAACCATCATAATCAGACAGCAGGATAGTGAGAAAGCTCAGACACACTGTACATGAGAGGCAGGGTGCAGACCCCCCAATAAATGATTTCTAAATAAATGATGGAGTTATAAACACATATTAGCTGATATTAGCTTTAGATACACTTCTGAAAACATGTTTCCATGTATGGAGGACTGTAGATTGTTCCCCTCATCACTTCCATTGAAAGTACTTTAGGAAGAGATCTTTAATGTCCAGTATAACAGGAGGAACCATTACAGCAAGAAAAACCTGTTTCACTGTTCACTGTTGTTTGAAGACTGACTGAAAAACTGTAAACTGTCTTTTTAAATGGAGAAAATGGAGAGAGAGAAGATTATTGACTTACCGATCTTTCTACGATTCTTCCACAATACAGCAACTGCAACAATGGCAATGAGAGCAATGACACCAACAACAATACCAATACTACCACGGCTGCCGGCACCACCTGAAAGAACAGAGGAAAGATGTTGAGATTTGTTCTTCACTGTTCCAAGATAACATCCATCAACAATATTTCCACAGCCACTTCTCCTGTTCATGGTCTCAATGTGTACTTGGAGTCCATCCCACCAAAACTGTCTGTTGGTTAGAATCTCTTTCATTGCACAACAGTAAACAAACAGTATTATCAGTGAGAATATTCTCCAGAAATACGAGGATCCAGGGTTATTTAAAGGACCGCTGTGGAGGATTCAGTGATATCTAGTGCAGAGCCGGTCCTGACCTCATGCTAGGGGCCCTCCTGTCTGACCCTGTAAACTATTTGCCACACAGTGCTCCCACTACACTTCTTCCTTCTTTAAAACAGTCTGCTCCATCTGTCGGTCAATAAGTAGATCTATACAGAACATATTGAGGTATAAACAAACAATATTTATTAAACAGAATATTTTATATAGAATATTAAGTGAATATTAACATTAACATTGTAGATTTAATACAAACTATAAACTGTCTCTGCTGCCTGGTAATTAGTCCAGTCCTCACAGTATAATGACATTAGCTTTGTCTATACAGTGTAAACATCAGTCTACAGACTGACTGCAGCTTTAAGTCTCACAATATCTGCATCAGCTCCTTTAAACCGGATCCCCCACATTTCCTTTGACACACCTAAATATAAAATACTACTTATACTTTACGTTATGTTTCATTTAGTGTATGAATGCAGCACACAACGCGGTTATCTTTTCCCCATAGCTGATTATAAGCACTGTCTGTTGGTGATCATCAGACGTAATAAATAAATACATTTCACTATCACTTTGGTCAGACAAAAGGTCCCAGAAGAGTTCTGGAAGATCAACACATCAACATAACCTTACTGTTGTTTCCTGACATTTACATTTACCTGATTTTCCCACAATTCTCTCTTTTTTGACGGATAATCCGTTCACACTCTCATCAAAGTTGCAAACATTAACACACTCCCTCTGTAGATAAAGACAGAACTCAAAAACTCGACTCAAACTCAAAACTTTTTTATATATATATTTCACACACACACACACACACACACACACACACACACACAAATGTTTACAGTTTTATCTATCTATTTTATTTTAATTTAAATATATTTTAATATTATATATATTATATATTATATTTAATAAGTTGTTATTACTGTTATATTGACAATGGACTAATTGTTTTAACTGTAGCTGTTACTTTACTACTGTTTTGATGACATTTTTAGTTGACACAAACTGATTGATTAATTGATTCATTGTAATTAATTACTTATTGACTGAGATTGATTGATTGTGACTGTGATTGTGATTGAGTCAATCATAGTTACAGTATTACCAACAGTATATATTATAATTAATTTATTGGAAAATATTGTTTTCCTTTATTGTTATTATTATTATTTTTAATTCCAAACGCTTGCTTTGGCAATATGTACAGTGTTACGTCATGCCAATAAATCCATTTGAATTGAAATTGAATTGACAGTTCATTGGGTGACAAACACACAATGATTCTCATATTCAGGTGATTATACACTAATGAAAACATCCCTATGAATATTATATTACATTTCTGACAATAGATCCTCCTGAATGTTTCACACTGGACCTTTCAGTAGTCCTCTATCAGTGTGCTCTGAGATGATGAATGAGTCCATTATTTGCTAGAATGGCATCCTGTCAAATGAAGCATTACATTCAGAATTGCTCTGATTACTTTTGAGGTTAAAGAGGTCATATTATGCTCATTTTCAGGTTCATATTGTAAGGAGGAGAGAAACAGGAGTGATATCTGTGTACATTGTGGACTGCAGTAAAGACAGCACTTACCTGGCTCTGTGTCTGTGGAAACAATGAAATACAATATTAAAATATGTGATAACATTCAGACCAACAGGAGATGACAGCTGATGAGGAGACAAATAAGATATTTACTTACTGATATTCCCACTGTGGCCTCCCCTCTGGCTCTGTTGGACAATTAATACAAAACATTTATCACGTGACAAATAGAACATTTCCTC